TGCATAAGACTATGCAATAATTTTTAATCATTAGTATTAATGGTGTATTAAAAGTTGTTGTACATTGTCTGTGACCTTAATTTTCTGCACTGAGTTACCAAATAATTTAAACCAGGTAGTCTTCAGATCACCTGATGAAAGAAACAGGGAATAGGGAGAAGGTGGTATGACCGTTACAAACACTTACAAACTATGCCTATTTCATTTTCTCATAAAGCTACAATCAATGCTTTTTTGCCCCTCCCAAACACCAAAGGTTTGCTAGCATTCTAATTCTGTATACTTAAAAATCCAGATAGAGTTGGGTTTCTCTGTAAGCATCAAATTATCTTAGGTAATTTTAAATAACACTATCATTTAAAGCTTTCTCACTAGCCCCATTCGTACTTTTACTTGCTCATCTCTAGTCTTCCAGGAATTTAATGAACTAGAGATAAGAATAATTTTGGAATTCCATGTGGAATAATTTGCTCTTAATAGAGTATATGCTGCTGTATTTTCCTTAGTAGCATTTTGATACACTGTCAGTAGACCATTTGTAAATGCCTTGCTGCTTCATAGATAATGTTTATGTGCTTAATAAAGGGAATTGGTTTTTGTTTTGGTTTAATTGGAACAATTAAGAGTAATTAAAATACAAAGAAATAAAAAAAGAAAGCTGTAGGCAGAAGAGTATCATTACAGATGATGTAGAAAATGTTGTGAAGATATATTCCCCACTGTCCACAGTTTTTCAAGGACCAGTTGACAAATATTTGTGAAAACTTGTACTTCTCATCTCATCTTCACTTTCCCTACATCCTGTCCCCATGCCTGGTGGTACAGCACTGCTATCAGAAGGACATCAAAAGCTGGAGGTTTAAATCCACACAGAAGGTGCCTTAAGAGAAATGTGTAGTGATCTTTCACCCACTGAAAAATCCTCTGGGTGGATTTGAACCACAAAGCTTTTGGTTAGCATCTAGGAACAGAACCATTGTGCCATCAAGGCTCCTTCTAAAAAAAGGGATAACCATATTGAATGCTTTACTTTGATAATTTGCAACATTTTAACATTTCATTACATTTTCTGCACTGTATCTATAAAACTTTAGATCATTTTCATATAGTTGTATGAAGTCAAACTAGAGTTTCAGCCAGTTAAAAATATAATTATTTTACTTGTATGTGATAGCAATGATATTGCTCGATAATTTCCACCTTCTGTTGTTGGAGCACCTTGTTTGGAATGGGTACAAATATGGATCTCTTCTGGTCAGTTGGCCAGATAGCTGTCCTCCAAATTTCTTGGCTTAGACGAATGAGCACGTGCAAGACTGCTTCTGTTCATCGAAATACCCCAGCTGGTATTCTGTCCATTCCTGTAGCCTTACTTTTTTTTTATTTTATTATTTTTGTGTGAGTGTACCGTCAAATCAGATCTGACAGGTACAGGAGGAGATTGTCCCTCCTTCCCCGGCAAAGCATCTGGTGGATTCGAACCGTGCGCCTCTGGGATTGTAGTTGCAGCTCCTTGCCACTAGGCCACCAGAGCTCCCCCTGTAGCCTTACTTTTATAATTACTTTTAGGGAACTTCAGGTGTCTTCCTTCAGTACCATGGCTTTTGATAATATGCTACTTGCTGAAACGGTTCCATTAAGTAGTTGAGTTAATTCTTGTTGGCACCATGACTCTGTGTCTTCCTTCCACCTTTTTTTTGATGCTTCCTTTGTCAGTTAATGTTTTGCCCATAAAATCCTTTATTATTGCAACTAGAGACTTGACTTTCTTGTTCTATTCTTTCATTTTAAGAAATGCAGAGTGTGTCCATCTCTTGGTTTTCCAACTCCAGCTCTTTGCACATTTTTTTTGTACTACTTTTTCTTGGTGGGATGCCCTTTGAAATCTTCTTTTAAAATCTCTTATTCATATCTTCTTCCTTTTGTTTTATCTTTTCTGTGATCGTTATCAAGTTTCAGAATCTCTTCTGACATCTGTTTTGTTATTTTCTTTCTTTCTTATCTTTTTAAATGAACTTTTGCTTTATTTATTTATGATGTCCTTGATTTCACAACTCATTTAGTCTTTGGTAATTAGTGTTCAGTGCATCAAGTCTATTTTTGAGATGATTTTTTAAATTCAGATGAAATAAACTCTAAGTCATATTTTGGCTTTTCTGAACTTGTTTTAATTTCCTCAGCCTCAGATTGGACCTGTAATGAGTAATTGATTGTTCCACTTTTTGCCCCTGGCTTTGTCCTGACTGTTGATTTCTAGTTTCTCCGTCAATTCTTTCCACAGATGTAATCTGTTTAATTCTTGTGTATTTCATCACATGAGTTTCATATTTATAGTCATTGTTTATGCTTTTTTTAAAAAAGGTATTTGCAATGAATAGGTCATTGATTGTACAAAATTCCATCCTGCAATCTCTGGCCTCACTTCTGTCACCAAGTCCTTATTTCCCAACAACTGGTCATTCCTTTTTTGTTTTACATTCCAGTCACCAGTTATTATTAATGCATTCTGATTGCATGTTTGATCAATTTCATACTGTAGAAGTTGATAGAAATGATCAATTTCACCTTTGGATTTAGTGTTTGGCAGGTATATTTGAATAATAGTCATATGACTAGCTCTTCATTGTATGCATTTGGATATCATCCTCTCACTGCCAACATTGTAATTCCGGAGCAATCTTGAAATATTCTGAGAATGAGTGTGACATCAGTCCTTTTCAATTTGTCATTCCGGGCACAATGGGTCATATGATTGTTTGATTCAAGATAACCAACATCAACCCATCTCAGCTCACCATTTCTCCCCCACCCCAACCATGTCATTTTTTTACAACTTCTAATTTTCCTGCCATGGGAAAGTCTGCTGTTAGGGATCTCTCCAAAGTACTGAAGAGCAACAGTGTCTCTCTGGAGACTAAAGTGCATCTGATACAGGCCATGGTCTTAGCAATCACTTGTTATGCATCAGAGAGCTGGGCAATGACCAAGGAGGATAGAAGGAGAATCAATGCCTTTGAGCTGTGGTGCTGGAGGAGAGTATTGACAGTACCATGGACTGCTAAGACAACAAACAGATTCATCTTGGAGAGGGTTAAACCAGGCTGCTCCTTGGAGGCAAGGATTCTGAGGCTTCGTCTGACATACTTTAGACATGTTGTAAGGAGGGACTGGTCCTTGGAGAGGGACATCATGTTTGGGAGGGTGGAGGGACGGCGCAGGAGAGGAAGGCCCTCTATGAGGTGGATTGATTCAGTGACTGGGGTAATCGGGATGGGTGTGTCGGAGACAGTGCGATTGGCACAGGACAGAGCAGAGTTTAGGGCTGTTGTACATAGAGTCGCTATGAGTTGCAAGCGACTTGACGACACATAATAACAACAACACTTTTCCTGCCTTCTTATTTCCTGAAGAGAACTAGAGTGGCGTGGTCTTTGTCTTTTGTTGTTTTGTGCCTTCGAGTTGCTTGCATTTTGTCTGTTCACCCTAATAGAGCAGCTCTGCTGGGGAAAGGTGAGTTTCTCTTGGAAACTCGGTGGAAGGTCAGCTTAGTCAGTTCCAACCCAACGGCAGTGAGTTGAGTTTGAAGTTCTACTTCCTGTGATTCACTTTTCTATCACTATTGGATCTTTGCAGCTTTTCCTCCTCATTCCGAGTCTTGTAACATCAGCTCATGAAAGATTTTCACTGGGTGAAAGCTTTACTCCGTCCACGTGGCTAAGGTAGAGACTGTGTTGAGAGGAGCCATTTCTCTCTGTCACATTTTGAGGGCCTTCCGGCCTGAACGCCTCATACTCCGGCACTTACCTGAGCAGCGTCACAGTGCTTTTCACAGGGTTTTCAAGAGCCTATAATTCCGTCTCAGGCCAATCCTGCTTCTTGGTCTTGAAGTTTAGCTGAAACCTGTCCATCATGAGTGACCCTCCTTGTATCTGAAATACCAGTAGCATAGCTTCCAGCCTCACAGCACCACGAAGCCTCCCCAGGGTGGCAGCTTGACAGATGACTGATGGATTCACATCGTAGAAGTTAAGATTATACTGAGGGTCAGGTGTACATTGACACACAGTATTAACCATGACAAAGACTGAAGCTGTTCTGTTTGGAGTAAAGGAAAACGGTGTTGGGGCAGGCTAACTGTTAGGTACCACCTAGTAGATAGAGATAGAGATAGAGAGATAGATATATATATATAGAGAGAGAGAGAGAGATTTATATATATATATATAGAGAGAGAGAGAGAGAATATCAGTTTAAACTCACTCTCCAGAGTCCTTATGAAGATGATTATCGTGCTATCCCAGTTATCAGAAGAAGCAAGTGGAGCTGCACATGATTAGCCAATAGGGATGAGCCAACAAATTGATTGATACCTGCAGCGCATGTGCACCTGTGGCTTCTTCCCACCATGTCTGTATGGCTGGAGAAGGCCCTGTTTTGGTGGAAACAGCAGCCGTAGACAGAGCACAGTTCCTCAACAGATTCCATGTGTGAAGGAACTAGTACTAGACCAGCAGGTCCAAGTGGGAGAGAGAAACACAAGATCCCCAAACATGAGGCAGCTCTGCAGAAGATAATTCCGTTCTCCCTGGAACTGACTAACAATGAGAGGACGTCAAGGTTCTGTCCACAGTGGGCAAGTTAGACACAAGGTTCCTCCCCTGCGTGCTCTTGTGTGCATTTGGGTGACCAGGGTGCCTGTCATTTAAAAGCAGAGGCCAACTGATGCTACAGCAGGTCCTCAAATTGAGGGAAGCATCACTCACTCTGGTCACAGGGAAGGACTCCCCTCCAGCACAGACTTGCTGGTGGCCGGCCAGGATGAAGCACACTGTTTTCCTGGGGCTAAGGAGTCTTAAGCAATGTCTGGTCATGACCCCTGAAGTCCTCAGCTACTTTGAAGGGCCTATTGCCAGACCTCAGACCACAATAGAATAAAAACTAAAGATTTTTTAAGAAAACAAACACCCAAAACACAAAACACAATTAAAGATTTTAAATTGTTCTGATCACTGGCTTAGTTATCTAGAGCAATTATTTACAGAGATACCACAAATGGAATGGCTTTTAGGAACCAAAAGTTATTCTCTTTCAGTTCAGGTGAATGGAAGTTCCGGTTCATGATACTGGCTCTAAGAAAAGTTTTCTCTCTTGGTTTCTTCTGGTTCTTGGAGTTTCCCAAGTGCAGGAACTTGGGTCCAGAGACTGTGCTCATCTCCTGGCTCTGTGTCTTGGTGACACTGAGCTTCCTGCTGTGCAGCTTTTCTCTCTTTCATTAACATTTAAAAAAAA